GTAGGGTGGTGGTGTGTGTGTGTGTGTGTGTGTGTGTGTGTGTGTGTGTACACACACACTTTTTTTTTTTTTTGCTGGCCATCCATCTAGAATTATTCTCTCAAGCTTTTGTAAAATTGGGCCTTGTTATTCCTCTGAGCATGTCAAATTTTGTTTTGCAATTGTGGCACCATTACTTCAAACCCCTCTCCCTGCAGCTTTTTGCTTGCACTATTATATGTGCTCTTGAAACCATTTCTGCTATAAGAAACTCTTTGCCATGCTTCTATATCACATTTAATGAACATTCTGCAATTGTTTGCAACAGTAATATGGCATCCAACAATTTCTGGTCTGTTTCTATCCTGGTTGATTTCTGTCCATCAAACAGATGCATGAAACTGCTCAGAAGGTAACAACTGCCAGTACTTCTTTTTGAGTGTTGGCATTGTTCTATTAGGTTTCTAAAGCACTAATTAAAACATATGATGCTGGATGATCATCTTGCAGAAAGGACAGCCCCCAGTCCACATGAATTTCTATTGGCTGAGATTTGCTTTTGGTTAATCTTAGAATATTACAATACCAGTGCTTTGGTAATATTATTTAAATTCCACAAAACCTTTCTCTTGCCCTTCATCCCTGTGCCATTCCACACTATTCTGAAGAAACGTTCAGAGTGGAACTCCTAACTGTAACAATTTACTTCCACCACATCCAGAACCTTGAAAATCTGAGCCATAATGGTTGATATATACCTGTTGGGACAATCCTAAAGGAAAGTCCCTTAAATGTATTTCTACCACAGGGAGCTTTGAAGGGGCTGAGATTTGCACTAGAGATTAGGGTTAAGAGCTGGTTTTAAAAAAACCAAAAACAAAAAACAAACAACACGTGAAAAATTTCAAACAAAATGAAAACTGTTCCAGTTTTGGGCCCCCTCTAACTCCTGGATAAGGGGGGAGAGGGAGGGAGAAAGAGAAGGGGGTAATATTAAAACAAGAACTGAAATACCAAAAAGTTCTGACCAAAAAGAATTTCCACAATAATTTTCATTTCAAATCCATTTTCAATCTATTTTTCATTTAAAATATGTTTCAATGAAAATACTTTGTCTAACTGTAGTTTTCACTTTCACTATTGAGTCATAGCTGCCAAAACCCTTAGTTCATATTCAAAACTGAAAATACTCTTGCTCCTTCAAATTTAGATACAGCTTCCTTAACTATTCTCATAGACAGTACTCTGAGAGTAGTTTAATGGCCTTATTCAAATCTTTTTGGACCT